AGATCTCCTGGGGGGTGGGGGTGGGGGGGTGGGGGTCTGAGCTTGCCGGAATCATGTAGTATACATGGTTAGCTTTAAGGAAAGCTAGGTTTTACCAGTTGATCTCTACAATCTTGGCATTATATGACCCAAATTTTCTTGTACTTTTAGTCATAGGTTAGACAATAAATTAAGAAATTCATAATTCGTATCATATCAATTTTTTATGATAAAACGAAATTATCATCGTACAGTCTATCTTCAGTAGTTTTCCCAGAATGCCCGACCGTGAAGTCGAGCATGCGTATTCCAGAAATATAGACTAACGTAGTTGCTAGCGCTCGAGAGCGCTAGCAATAAGTGGAGCGTAGCGAGAACGATAACTCTGGATAGAGATTGATGTTGAGAATGTAAACAACTTCCAGTCAGTTTTGTCCAATGATTTTTTTTTATCTCTCGCACTAAAGAGCTCACAATTATCAAAGGGAGATAATTCAATTTTTAAATGAATGTCTGTTATTTTAATCACAGATTTCTTATATTTATAGACTGAATACCAACAATGTTTTTAAATACCTTTTAAAATCAGATGTCATACTTTTTTATTTCTGTGAGTAACATGAATTGAAGTAGCCGCATTTCATTGATTGACATTCCCAAAAATTGCATTTTTTCAGAAAAAATCAACTTAAGACACCGTTTCCATGGTAACTACTCAACATTCATATGATCTAAAAATATTTTTTGGAGTAGTTTATGAGGTGGTAAATTCTAGCCAAAGAGCCATAGCGCATTTGATAGGCATTTTCGCCTACTCTACTAGTGATTTCTTAAATACATTTTTTAACCAAAATTTTGTCATACAGTCTTAGTTTATACATGTGTAAAACCAAATCACACAATAATGATATTTAATTGTTAATAGTTCCCTCATATGATAAATTTGAAAATTATCCAGTTTGTATAGAATATATAGTAAATATTGAGGTATCCACCTAACGATGACAAACTGTTGTCAAAGACCACCCTTAACCAGAAAAACAACTTTTGAATAATTTTATTTGGATATGTCTGCACTTCATTCCCTTTAGATAATTTTGGTTAAAGGTGGTCTTCATATTGAAAATGATGAAAATATATATTAAATTTTTCTTCTCATATAATCGTAAGATTTAGTAATCTGTCTTAAATTTATCAACTTGTCATCATGGACTTCGTTGGCGCAGCGGTATGATTGCTGGAATGTAAATATGGTGATCGCGAGTTCGAGCCCCACATTTTTCCATGTTTTTTTTTTTTTTATTATCATTTTTTCTTTGTGTATCTTTTCTACGTTTTTCTTTATTATGTTTTACAACATACACAATTTCAGAAAGATATAATATACACATTACACTTTGAAAGTATCTCGGGAAAAGACAGTCATTATATAACTTTTATTAAAGTTTGCAAATTCATAGCAACTTGTTTTATTTTTATTGATTTTCTGCGTAAATCTTTTGTCTCAGAATTAGAGTATTGAACAAGTAAAATGATTTTCATTTGACATACTTGCAACACTCGTCCTCAAATCATATTAGATAGTTTGCTCATGAATTGAAAAGGTACAGTATATCTATAAATAGAAACAGGTGAATTCCTTTTAAATTCTTGAGTCGGCTGTGTCGTCGGTAAGGCAGCTATGGCTCTTTGAAAAAAATCTGTGACTATGCGTGCCACAAAAGTTTAAGTGGTTACAGAGAATGGCTATTAAATTTCAATACCTTATTAAACTCAAATTTAAAAATGACATTTGCTATGAATGTATATCATTACATTTCATGTAGGGAATAAAGTTTGCAACACGCTGATTTTAAATGTATCATATTAATGAAGCTCTAAACACTAATTAAAAATGCTTTTTGGACTGAGAGAAAAATATATCATATAAAGGTGCACATATTCAGTGTATCTAGTTCATTTTCAACATTGGGTATCTGCCTTATTTCTGCAGAAAAAATGTTCAAAGATAGTAAACTATTTGTGAACAGAAATCACTGTTGTTTACTTGCATAGGAAAAATTAATGGAGATTATATATTCAATTACTTAATCTTGGCCTACAAATGTAACATAACATTTTTCTTCTAAGGGCAGATCACTCTAACTCGATAAAACTACCATACAAATAGAACTCTTATGTGTGCAGTGTTTAGAGCTTCCTTAACCTGTTAAATTTCAATACCCGATGAAATTCGATTATAAAAAATAACATTCTACGATTATAGCATTACGTGTAGGGAATCAAGATTTGCAACACGCTGATTTTGAAAGTTTTGGATTAGAAAAAAAAAATCTATGTTTTACAAGTAATTTCAACACTCTGCTTTTTAGTTATATTTTTGTGTGCAAAGTCCGCTTTAAATAGCGCATAAAAAACACGCTTTCAATTGATTAAAATTCTGTATGCACTTTAACAAATGTTAGAAATGACTTTAGAATTATCTTATTTCACTGGTCGGCCATAAATGTCGAAACAATACGGAGTTTGAAAAGCATGTAAGCGTAAAGTACAGTAAATTAATCAACAGCGTAATAATTCTGAGGTAATTGTGCAGATTTTTAAATTGAAAGAAAAATGATGAAAAAAAAATAATGAAGAATACTTTACTTACACTTTCCTAGATTCTTTAACAATCTAAATGCATTGCCCGATCTCTAATTTATAATGCATTAATTAGCTCTCCTTCCCACGAATGTTAATTCCTAATTTCTTTATCAATGCGATTTTTTGACCAATTCATTTAAATTCTTGAAATGATTTTCGTGTAATTTACCGAAATTTAAAACTCTTTCTGACATTCATGGTCATCGAGACCATTATATGATTATAGATTGTTAAATTTGACATGTGATAGAATTAGTAAAACTGACTGCGAGTGATGTCGTTAACTGCAGACGTTCCTAATTGTCATTTGACGTTAATTTGTTTCGTTCGACTTTTGTCTCGACCCTGATACCGTAACAATCTCATGTTTTGTGACAGACTGGCTAACTGTCGTCAAGGAGTCGTTAGATTTTTCTTTATTAATTATACATGTACAATGACCTTTGGTGATATCTTTAAACAGTAAAGGTTACAGACCACATTGTATAAAACGGTCACATTTTATAAAGTTCCTTTTTCCCCAAAGATCTCTAATGTCTATACACCGATATGTATACATTATCAGGAGAATAAATGTAAAACAAGGTATTTTTTTTTAGATAAAGCTGGGACTTTAACACCCCCCCCCCCCAAAAAAAATTATCTTGTCAAAATATCCCCCCCCCCCGGACACACACACATTTGAAAAATAAAATGATGTTTAGCCTTAATGTCAGCTATATAAATTTAAGTTCCATATAATGCTTTTCATACAGACTGATCTTAATTGCGAGACACAATATGTTTTTTTAAACGAGGCCGAGCTTGATACAATTCTATATACCATACCCTGTCTTAATTTTCAAGCATCCAATGAAGTCTACACGGTGTCTCTCATTTAGTCACAGCTACTCCTGGACACCATGCAATCCCCCACCACCCTTTTCCACTCATGCGCATGTACACAACCTCATAGATACAACTATAGAACTGCAGTACTTTTAATAAAATATTTCCTAGGTCTTTATTTAATTTAGAACATTTTCTTTGTTAAAATGTCAAACATTCCCACGAAGATGATAAAAAATTACAGCACCATAACACGGAACACTTAACCACATACACTTTAAATATCGTGCTGTCAAGAGAGAGAAAGGAAAAAAAATCTGGATTTTTTCCTGTTAATTTTCCATGTATTTGTCTGGGTAACTTACGAAAATAATGCTGATACCCCCCCCCCTTTAATGTATGTCAGAAATTAAAAAAAAGGTTAATATATATCTAAAGAATGTGAACAAATGCAACTACTATATAAATTATTTTTATTGACTCAAATTTTTAAAAAGTTAAAAATGACAAGTTTAACAAACTAAAATTATCATGTCTTTGTACACGATAAGGCCATATGTATTTTTTATATTTTCTAAATCACATAGCTTTCCAACCGTTTAAAATAAAATAAAATCATTATATATGCACTTCTGTGTTTCTAACACACGCCCATGCATGACAATTATAACCCGGAAATCAAATTTGCATTGTTTTTCACCCTGATCTAAGCGTTTTACAGGCGCGGGTGTATCATGCGCAATATTTATGAGGATGAATCACAAACGTTTAGGGTAATGCATACAGATCATATAAGAACCCACATGATTTTTCTTTATCTGCCAGTATAATGCATGATATACTCAAGAGGGTTTTATTTGTCGAAAGCGGAAGCTGATGAAAATGAAAAATTAAAAAAAAGTTCTCTAAATAATACGTGATAAATCGAAAACACAAAACATGCATTCATGTTCATAAAATATCGTATGTGCACTTATGTATATGTATATTATTTAAATTCTGTTAAAACGTCGCCATTCAAACGAGAAGCAGGAAGTTTATATAAGTATTGCATCAGAACTCATCCACTGATTTAAACAGATACTAGAAATCTTTTACACTTCCTGTTTTGATGGCTTGAAGTATAATTGGAAATGAATACTTGAATTTAAACTTGAGAGTGTTCATTTAGAATGGGGTTTTTCCTTTATAAACCATTTTTAAGTCGTTCAAAATTCTCTTTTAGTTCTTCTACAGAAACCCTTGAAATCATAAAATTATTTGGATAGTGGCTAGTACAAAAACAGGCCTACACACCGAAAGAAAAGTCCTGTTATATTCCGTGAGTGGGGTATATTTTCTACTTCGAGGAAATTTGTAAAGATTTATCCCTTGAGTAAAAGGAAAAGAAATTCGCCCACTCACATTTATCCGTCATTATAAATATTACATGTAAAAATTAATAATCATTCATATGTTAATAATTTACATACTGCATACAAAAGCGCATACATTCATTAATCCAAAAGCTACATTTGTACGATTTCAACGTTCTTCTTGTTTTCTTCACTCCCCTCCCACTCCATGTAATAGCTTACATGTAAATCTAATTTATCAAATCTATCAAAGCTCAGAAACTTTAATACTTTGTCTTTGAGATTCTTGAGAAGGAGAGTTTGGAATTTCAGATTCCAATACGATAGTCGCCATTGGCATCGAGTTATCTTCCTTCAATGCAGTGTCAGTCACAGAATAATTGATATCGAGCACTTTTTCTCCAATTTCTACTTCCGGTGAACTTTTATCTTCTTGGTTAACTTGACGCTTGTCCTGATTTTTTTCTTTCATTTCCGGCTCGTCTTCTGATGATGATTCATCGTCTGAAGAATCTTGTTTATCCTCAACATTCTGAATCCCAGATGCGTTTAATCCAACCTCATTCTCGTTTTTGCTTGGATTAAACGTGGTTATTTCCCTTGAGCCAAAGTCATCAGTTGCATGGTCTAATAATGCTACTGTCTGCATAGCCTCATTTTCGGGTGTTGGAGATTCGAGGTCAATCATAGACTTGTCCAAGAGAAACTCGCCTGGGACAGAAGCGTCATTTAGATTTTCGAAATCCAGTTTTATGTTGCCAGGTGAATGTACTGTCGGTGAAAAACCTGTGGTTGCGTTTATCTTCGGATCTCTTCTGGTGCTCCTGCGTCTAAAAGAAAAAAAAAAATCAAAATTATACTTATTAAATAAGACCCTAGCGCGCCTTTTCCCCCTCACCGATCTTATTTGCCTCGCCAATGTTAAATACCTTACTCTGCCTCCGTTTACTGTAATCCATGACTTAACATGTAAGTATGTGATTTGTGAAGGTCAGAGATTTTCTGTGCAATGGAGATGATCAACGAGGAGTTATCTTCCTTTCATATATATACATGGACTGGGATAAGGTGAGCTGGATACCAATTTTCATCACCCCGAAGATTTAAACAATACTATTCAATCGCAATATTTGACCTTTTGTCTTGTCAAATTAGGTTCTATGAGCACTGTTCCCCCCCCCCTCCTCTCTTCCTCATTTTAATAAAGCCTATTCATGTTTATTACTGTGCGAGCCAGCTGCAGCTGAAATATGGTTTTAGTTTTATTTCAACACTATACATATGTATGCCTAAATTAATTAAAATGTGTTGACTAAATTCGTTTAAAGATCAAATCAGGATTGAACAAAAATAATCTAGAAATAAACATGACTAAGCCTTGACTTAACAAGATTGTGAAATAAAACTTTCCTATGTTTCCCATTTTTTTTCCCGCGTGCTTCTGTCCAAAGTATACCAAAGAAACAAATCTATACAAGTATAATTATAGTTTTCTACATTTTTCACACAGGAATTTGTTTTGTAAAGTCTAAAATCTTCTCAATAAATATTTGACGCTGTAACTTTTGTTTTACTCTGGTAATACTGGAGAGAGAGAGAGAGAGAGAGAGAATTATACAAACTTTCGTAAGATGCAGATGATGATCAACGCCGAAATCAAGATGAAGATGATGACAGCAACAACAGAGACCGCAACTACAATATAAAAAAGAAAACATTGATGTAACCATCAATTGTCGCCCGGGAAATAAATAAAGTAAACAATGGAAATGAGTCTTGATCATCAAACCGCTTCGATATGTGTGAAAAAGGCATGCGTCTAAATGATGGAGACGATAGTAGAGAATATTTTGAAAACTTATAGTCGGATGAAAATCGAACAAAAACGATACCCTTTTAAACTTTATCAATTCCTCAAGTAAATGTTGGCTACATAAAATATAATTTGAAACCAGACACATGCATCACCTATTTTCAAAAATGTCTTTCACTTTAAGATTATAAAACACGAACTGTGTAAAGTACGTTTTTACGTTTTTATGCGATAAGTAAAATTCGATGTTCTAAAAAAAGGGACCTGTCGTTTTTTCGATAGTAAATGATAAGCAACTTTATATATTAAATATGAAAAACATATATATTTTTACAGATTCACTTTATGGAAGTAAATATATTGTGTATCTCGTAATTTATAAAGGGAAAGAACATTCTGATTAACAATCTTTTTAATGTTTAGAAAACCTTTAATTCTGAATAACTTCTCCCACCTCAATCCCCATATACCAACACTTAAACTTATATGTATAGAGCAGCCCGGTCCTCCGGGCTGCAAAAATAATCACGTGACGCTTAAAAATACCAATCCCGTGACTCTTAAAAAATCAATCACTTTACTAAAAGATATTCTCAAAACTACTGATTTTACAACTACAGAATAAAAGTTGACACCAATTAAAATTAGTTATGTAACCCTTTGACAAAAAGATATTTTTCTCATATACGTATTCCAAAATAACAACTACAGAATTAAAAGAAAATCAATCACTTGATTAAAAAATAATTCTTTCTAAAAAAAAAAAAAAAAAAAAAAAAAAAAAAAAAAAAAAAAAAAAATCCACATGATTTGTTTAATTCACTTATTCAAGACGCTGATCAGGTCCCAGGATCATGAAACGGACTCAGACTTAAGTCAAATTTTCAATCGGTTGTAAAATGTTTATCTATTATTGAATTAATATTTAAATTTGCAGAAAACAACACTTATGTAAAGCAATGCTTAAAAATATTTTAATTTTGCCCTGTTTGACTTCTACAACATTTAAGCATAAAATAAAGATCTTGACTTAAGCTTAAGATGTTTCATGATCCCGAGGTCAGATCTCAATAAGGAACATTATAGAGATTGACAAAAAAAAATGTTAATGTTAAATGTCAAAGAATAATCAATATATTTTATTAAAGAAATTGCATTAACAGAGACTAAATTCCGTAGAATATTTACTCTCAAGGTCACATAATAAAATTGTATTATTCAAGCATTTATTAATCATAAACTACAAGGAAAAATGCACATATTTTTTTTATATGCCTGTACTTTGTCTAGTTTCCGATACAGAATAATCTTTTAAATCATTTCCTTCCTTTTTTCACGTCAATGTTCAATGTAAGGAAGAAAGGAAAATAAAGACAACACTATTTATTGTTAAAATCTTGCATGGTTTTACATTGTACTGCTGTATTACATATATATATAAATGTATATATATTTTTTGGTCTAACGTTGGTAAGGGTAAAATTTAGCGGCATCATTTCGGTTGATATCGACAGTATCAGAATTCCTCATATCGCGTGTACCCATTACTATGCTATAAAATAATTAGTGAGATAAGATATCCGCAAGACCAGTTGTTAGGACAAGATAATGTGGAGCTGTAGATCCATTTCTCACCAGAGGATACGCTACGTTAGCTACAATATCGTGTCTAAATCTCTGCATCACATATAGGCGTATAGAAATTTAAGCGATATTGTGCCGTACACAATGTCTATGTTATGAGCGTATATTTTTAATAATGAAGGAAAATTAAAAATTTGAAATTGCAAAGGTATCTTTATTATGGGAATGAAATTAAAAGTAAAACTTTACCAATCAAATTTTTTTACAAGAATAAAAATTAAAAGGCGATAACAGGTATATGGGAAGCTTGCCCCCCCCCCCCCCCCCCCTTGAGATTGGTTGTTGGAAGGCTAACTTTGTAGGCTAAAAATAAAATAAAATCAGCTTAAAAAATCTTTTAGATGAACCTTAAAGCTTTCTTTACCTATTTCTTGTAGGAAGAAAGTCATAATTTCGAATGTCCACTGCTTTAAAATATATAGAAACTCTATTTGAAAAGTTCCATAAAATTATTTATATTAATATTAAAATACTTAGTTTTTATTAGTAGTTCTAATTTGTAAGCAGTAGACATATTTAATTAAGAATTATAATTATAAGTGATTCACAGGTCTTAGTCACTTACTTTTTGTGGAAACATCGCCATGTTCCATGCTTTCACCAGGGAGTAATTGGACTTGGTCTTTTGTTGATTTCGTCATCATGTTGGTTGTTGACATTCTTGATGACGTCGTCGTAGCTTGTGTAGTTTTGAATGAAGTGGGTTTTTGATTTATTGTTGCCAAAGTTGTTTCAGGCTTAATCTGGGAGGTTGTCGTTTTCATCATTTTAGTTGTTGTTGTTTTAGGGCTAGAAATTATAATACTCATATTGCTACCTTGCTTTGTTGTCGAGGCTGTACTTTCATTGTAAAATTTAACTGCAGGCGTCGATGAAAAAGTAGATGTTAGATTTGACAAAGAAGAAGAGGATGACCTCGTAGTACTTGTAGAATTTATTGCCGAAATATTATTACTTATTGCCATAGTTCTGTTTTCAACACCCGCCGAATCTATCATTGGAGTTGTCGTTGTTAAATTGTCTGAAGATGAGAGACGATTCTTGGTGGTGGACACAGGTGTAGGTATCGTGCTTCCTGTCATGTTTTGAACAATTGTTGAAACTGTCATTGTTGTATTCGATGTAAAATTGCTTGTTGACGGCATAACAACAGTCGTGGTGGAAACAGGTGTAAGTATCGCTGTGCTTCCCGTCGCTAATGTAGTATTTTGAACAATCGTCGAGGATGTCATTGAAGTATTGGATGTAAAATTGTTCGATGTCGGCATATTTGTTGTGATGGAAAGGGGTGTAAATGTTTTTCCGCAACACAACGATATCATTTCTAAATAGATAATATGATAAAATATTTTTAAAAAAATTGTAATATTTACCTGTTGGCAGTAGGTACAACCGGTAGATAAATAAATAAATAAATTGAAAATATTTTTTTTATCTCACTTCCTCTGTCAACAAAATAGAATACTACTCGTTATGGTTCCTAGGAAGTAACGAATCTATTGCGTATCTATTTTCTTCAATTTATATTGAATTGTGCCAAGCGGGGATAACAATCACCGTGCGTTAAAACATACACAAATTTCTAAACATCCCTGACGTTTATTTACACATACATATGAATAAAATTCCTTCTTTACATTCATGAATGTCTGATCTAGAGATTCAAGCATTTAGAATTGCTTAAGCAAGTTCTTTTTTTTTTTAAATGTAGTGCTCGAATATGTACACCACGATAAAATGACAAAAACTTTAAAATGTAATAACATTCATATCATTTATCAAATAGTAAAGAAAACTTACCAAAAATAACTTCAACAGTTAGGATAACCTTCAAGTTTCTCATGGTGAATCCACAATTTTTTTTTTTTTTTTGACAAAAAATATATTGCACTTGCTTTTGATAGATTGAGACGATGAATATTTAATTTCAGCAAAGAAATAGAGTTTAATACGAGGAAAACACCCTTGATTCTGACACACAAAATTTCTTCTTCCGCACTCGCCGGAAACCACTAGAGTCAGATCATACAGCTGCTGAGGGCGAGTCGCCTTCTTACCGGAAGTTAACATTGAAAAACCGGAAGTAAACATTGGGAAACGGAGCTTCCCTTCGTCTGGTGAATTCTTTTTGTTTTTGTTTTCTTCCTCGTTTATTTCTTTCACTAATAAATCGCACAAGTCATTCATTTGCTCATCTTTTATAATTAAACATTTTTAATGAGCCTAATAGATGATTATGAATGAACAGAAAGAGTTTGTAAAACACGTAAAATGTACTGTGTATCCTTAATTGCCACTCCAATTTTCAATGATATACAACATTATATTATATGACTATACTTTTATTGTTTCCTTTATTGCACAAAATCATACGTTTATCTTGTGTTTGAACTGTCATAATCGCCATTCAGGTTTCAGTCACAAGAAGTGTAATCACTATGTTCTTTTGTTACAATCATTATCAGCAGAGAACCTTGTATTTTACAGTAGACATGCTATCCACGAGATCAGATGAAATATTGATTACTATTGCTACGGGCCCATCTGAAGAGGAAAGTTTAGTTTCTTTTTATGAGTTATTAAACACTAGTTAACTATTAATATTTCACTATAGTTTCCGATTGTATCAAAGTTTTAACTACAGCTTCATCAAAGTTTTTACTTTTTAGTAAATGACAGAATTTTTTATCATAGATTTAAGTCAATGGAAATATTATTTGTATATTCACATATTATTTATATATTTTACATCATTATAATTGAATTTAAGAGATTTCCAGCTTTGAAATCTCCAACAGACTCAATTATTGATTGAAAAATTGCATATATTTTTCTATCGAAATGATTTGTTTAGCAGCGACTTTTCCACTGTTTTTGAAATAACCCAGTTTATCTACCCTGCTATCCATTGGCTACTGATCGCAGAGAACAGGTAGTGATTAGATACCCATGATGTAGACACGTCCATCTCGTAGCCCGTCACGTGACCTTCGTAACCTGAGTAAGAACGATACGACAAAGGACCAGAAACCTATTTAAGAAGATAGTTTTCCCCTCATTTTTGTAAAATTGCCACTATTTGAGTATATGTATATGGTGTACTACCAATACAAAATACAATGTAGAATGAAACACTGAAATTGAATTTTACATACAGATAAACAAAGTATACTTAATATATACAAAGTGTAATTAAGAAATAATTCCCTCGTCGGAGGAACTTTTGGAAAATATATAGTCGAGAGATTTTGTTGGCAAATAATAACTGCAACAGAAGGGTTATGTTTTTAGTTGCCAGCAAAATCTCGAGACTGAGGGTTATATTCTCCAGTTATTCCGACTACGAAGAAATTACTTCTATTCTGTTACAGCTAATATTTAAACTTCTTTATAAAGAAATACAGATGCTTGATTTGGACGTCATAAGGGTCCGGGGACATAAAACTTAGATGAGCTCACTTTTGATCCCAGTCTCACGTTTCCCTTATACATTCCTTCAGTAAAAGTGATACTGAGATCAAAAGTGAGCTCGTCTATGTTTTATGGCCCCGTAGTCTCAGAACTGTCTAATGACGTCATAATAGAATGCTGCTGCTCGTTCATTTTTATCTAAAGCTGCAGAAAATCTGCAAGGTACTCCGAAACCAAGGTGATTTTTCCCCACCATATTGCGTCACATTGAAAAAAAATACCTCTATCTTTTTTATGCCGACGTATCGAAGATTCGGGGTTATATATTTTTTGCCCTGTCCTCCCGCCTGTCTGTATGTCTACCTGTTTGTTTGTTTATCTGTTTGTCCGCAAAAACTATAACATTGCCCATAACTTTTGATTGATTGTAGCTATGGCTTTCATATTTCACATGTGCATTCCTTGTGACAAGACCTTTCTTTGGATACCATCTTATTTGACCTTTTGACCTTGGAGTTTGACCCATTTTACAAAATGCTACTAAATTTTAACCTTGGCCATAACTTTTGAACAGTTGGTGCTAGGGCTTGTATTCTTCACATGTGTAACCTTTCTTCGGATACCAACAACTCTGACCCTTTTGACTTTGAACTAGGTGTTTGACCTACTTTTGAAAAACTTTAACCTTGGCCATAACTTTTGAACGGTTGGTGTGAGGGCTTACAAACGTCACATGTAATCTTTGTGACAAGCCCTTCTTTTGGATACCAACAACTTTGACCCTTTGACCTTGACCTACATTTGAAAAACTTTAACCTTGGCCATAACTTTTGAACAGTTGGCGCTAAGGGTTTCATACTTCACATGTAATCTTTGTGACAAGTCCTTCTTTTGGATACCAACAACTTTGACCCTTTGACCTTGACCTAGGAGTTTGACCTACATTTGAAAAACTTTAACCTTTGCCATAACTTTTGAACAGTTGGCGCTAGGGCTTTCATACTTCACATGTAATCTTTGTGACAAGTCCTTCTTTTGGATACCAACAACTCTGACCCTTTTGACTTTGAACTAGGTGTTTGACCTACTTTTGAAAAACTTAAACCTTGGCCATAACTTTTGAACGGTTGGTGTGAGGGCTTACAAACATCACATGTAATCTTTGTGACAAGCCCTTCTTTTGGATACCAACAACTTTGACCCTTTGACCTTGACCTAGGAGTTTGACCTACATTTGAAAAACTTTAACCTTGGCCATAACTTTTGAACAGTTGGCGCTAAGGGTTTCATACTTCACATGTAATCTTTGTGACAAGTCCTTCTTTTGGATACCAACAACTTTGACCCTTTGATCTTGACCTAGGAGTTTGACCTACATTTGAAAAACTTTAACCTTTGCCATAACTTTTGAACAGTTGGCGCTAGGGCTTTCATACTTCACATGTAATCTTTGTGACAAGTCCTTCTTTTGGATACCAACAACTTTGACTCTTTGACCTTGACCTAGGAGTTTGACCTAATTTGGAAAACTTTAACCTTGGTCATAACTTTTGAATAGTTGGCGCAAGGGCTTTCATACTTTACATATGTAATCCTTGTGATAAAGCCTTCCTTGATGCCAACAGTGTTGACCTTAACCTTAGAGTTTGACCTACTTTTGGAAAACTTTATCCTTGGCCATAACTTTTGAACAGTTGTTTTTGTTTTTGTTTGTTTGTATGTTGTTTAACGTCCCTCTCCAGAATTTTTCACTCATATGGAGACGTCACCACTTGCCGGTGGAGAGCTACAAATTTTGTCGTATACTCGGCACTTACGGCCATTGAGCAGTGAGGGATCTTTTTCGTGCTAACACCTACTGCGACACGGGACCTCGGTTTATACGGTCTCATCCGAAGGACTGGTCTCCACATCCCACAGTGGGATTCGAACCCGCGACGTAAGGATCAACTCCTTACTTCGCGACTCTAGAGCAGACACTCTAACCACTGCGCCACGTGGGCGACCATGAACAGTTGGTGCTACGGCTTTCATACTTTACATATGTAATCCATGTGACAAGACCTTACTTTTTATAGCAACAACTTTGACCTTGATCTTGGAGTTTGACCTACTTTTGATAAACTTTAAACTAGGCCATATCTTTTGAACAGTTGGTGCTGGGGCTTTCATATTTCACGTGTATTTCTTGTGAGAAGGCCTTTCCTTGGGCACTATTAATTTTGACCATTTGATCTTGACCTTGATGTTTGACTTACCTTTGAAAATTTTTAACCTTTTCCATATCTTTAAAATGCTTGCTGAAAGGGCTTTCATATTTCACAGGTATATTCCTCAGTACAAGAACTTACTTTGGGTACCAACATATTTGATTGTTTAACCTTCGCTATAAGTTGCCATACGGGGGCATCAGTGTTTCACAAACACATCTGTTATTTTTTTTTATCCTTTTCCGAGTGAAATGTAGTCAAAACTTGATGTTGACGTTTGTGATTTGTTAGAGAATATAGTTTGTGGCATTTGTTTAAAAGTGTGATATCCGTAGTAGAAATCTTGAAAATGGGATACTTAGAAAGCAACTTCATCAATTAAAAACATTTGAAATTCCTATAAATGATTGATAAAAATGGTAATGAGACATGGAGATAAGGAACAGTAATCAGTTCAAACGTAAACAGAAACAATGGAAATTTCAAGAAGAGCAAACACGAACCTATAAAAACATCAAAGATGGTATCAGGTGCCTTTGAGGAGTACATGTAAGTATCCCCTGTCGACCGGTTACAATTGCCATGTACACGTTGATACGTTGACATGGCCGTGCAAACGGAAAAAAATCTGTATACAATTCAGAGTGATGGTCTAACAATTTGTATGAAAAAACTTAAGTCAGCACTCGACTTAATGATTTTATTATAAGGTCATTGTATTGACCACATAATTTGCGAAATATTGACTTTAAACGAGAGTATTGATATCCTTGTTTCATTAACTTGTTTGTCGATAGCTTGCCTGATTTTCAAAATTACTTGTATTTAGAACATGATTTTGCATAATAAATCAAATGGGAGACCTGAACTCCCTATACAGGTGTATACTGCTGCATAAATAATGAACGATGATGATAGAATAGTTAAAACCATCACGTACTATACTGTTACATGTATGTTGTGAGGTTACCATTTACGAATTACCGTATATACTCGCCTATAAGTCGTTCCGCCTATAAGTCGGTTGTGATTTTTGAGGTTATTTTGGAGGTATTTGCCATAGACCCGCCTATAAGTCGGTACAACTTTTTGCCAGGATCGGTGGACAATTTCAAATCAATGCTCTAATGTTTTAACATGTGTTTCAAATAATATTTTGAGAAATTACGCCGATATTTTATCTCTCTTTTTTTCTTCTCTTATAAATTTCATATCAATACTCTAATGTATTTACCTGTGTTCAAATACTATGTTAGGATATGACATC